GGGGGGGGGGAGTACATGAAACATGGGGATTTTGGGGAAGGTGAGTTTAGGAGAGTAACATAAAAAATTATTTTCCAAAAAATATTTTATACTCTAACCAAACACTAGAAAATATTTTCCAGAAAAAGTTTTTCACTCACCAACCAAACAAGGAAAAATAAGTGGTGATAAAACCACTCATTTTCTAGGAATGACAGAGAGTTTGCTTACTATTGGCTCACTATTCTCTTAGGTGTAAAATGACATGGAATGATATGGTAGAGTTGCGGGGTTAGTAGCTCCATTCTATTATCTGAGCAGGGAGGGGGGGAGGTCTAAATGTCGAGTTTAGTTGCGTTACTATACATTGCGCCCGGATAGATGTTTGCCTAATAATGCACTGAAAGATGTGAATGCATTCATATCTTTTGCAAGTCTTTTGTTTCTCATGGTGCAGCGAGAGGTGGGGGTTGGTGTAGAAGTTTGTGACATGTTCTTGAGATCATTATTCTTGCAGATTTACTTCTGTTTCTTGTTTCCGCAAGAATGATTTCGACTGCAAAGAATCATGATGTATTCAAAATCTAATAATGATTCGACCAGTTTTATTCTCTCGAGTCTTATAGTTTCTCTTTTGAAAGTTAATTATTGGTGGATGTCACAAGTACAACATGATTACTTGTTAGTATCACTATAAAGGCACTGGTCTATGGACATGTTATAACTTTTGAGTAGCTCTTGCACCATCAAGGAAAATCTTTTGCTTGTTATAGACACTAGTTTTATTGAACTTTGCTTTAGACAATATAATTAACTAAGTTGAGTAATTTACTAAGGTCTGCTAGAGTAAAAGATGACCATGGACAATCTTTTCCTTGTTTCCTTTTGAGTAGCACACTATTTCTTTTAACTCTTTTGGACACTGCCCTTTTCTTGTGATCCTTTAGTTTTTTGCTAGGATTTTTTGGGGGACAAGCTAATGCTAGAGTTTCCTTCTGCTTATTCTGTATTTGAAGTTGATAAATATAAAATAATAGTGGCAAATGTGTGAAAAATCAAAGCCTGCGGCACTATTGTGGGGTACCTAGTATAAGTGGTAATTTGCTATTTTTCCTAATGTATCTATATTCATCCAGGAATTGGTTTTAGTTTTATAAACTCTAGAAAGATAATGCCTATAGTACCTGCTTTTCCCGTGTGAGGAGCGGTGGTAGGTCAATGGAGTACAAGAGCAGAAGAGGAACATTTAAGTTCCCACCAGAATTTTCTACAGCGAGGTACTCATTTAGCTATTTTGTTGGAGCAGGCCTTCACAAATTCATTGCCAAGTACCTTGTTGGCTGCTAATGTTCATGCTGGTCGTGAATCTGATCCTTCATACTCACCATTTTCTGCAACACAAGCAATGCCCTCAAAATATGGCAACTCTGTTTCTTCAATTGGAGGTTCAACTATTTCCATGCCCGAGGTAATACTATCTTGATGAAGTTAATTGTATTTTTCATAGTGAATTTCTTTTTCCTCATGTGCACTTGGTGTATTGCTCATGACTTGTTGCTTGTCAAAATTTTCATGTATCGTAAAAAGCAAAACATGATGCTTTCTTGCCTTTTTAGAAATATTTATAATGCTTGTTATTGTTGTCTATTTGTACATAATGAGAATACTGTACATTATGGATCTAATTGCATCTAACACTGTGGGTGGGACCTCTTAACAATTGGGGATGAAAGTTTGATGATAGCATCTGCTGTTTGAAACTAAAATTTGAAGGCCGTTTCTCTTAATGTCCATCCAATGTTTTAGAGGCAACATTTGGTATTTTTTAAAACTCGTGTGGGTTGGTGTTTTCACTCTGTATACAAAGATAATTAGTTACTCGTCATGGATTTTCAGAATATTTTGAAGACTAATTTGTTTATTTGTGTGGTACAGTTACTCGTCATGGATTTTCAGAATTTTTTAAAGGCTAATTTGTTTATTTGTGTGGTACAGTTACTCGTCATGGATTTTCAGAATTTTTTAAAGGCTAATTTGTTTATTTGTGTGGTACAGTTAGAGGGTCTAGTTCATGGAGAGGAAAATTACTCTTTTGATTTAGGAAAAGGAGGCTGAAGTTGTGTATATAATATTCTTATAATAATGTTACCTTTTGGTTTTCTCATGTAAAATTTTCTTTTGGGTTGTTACAAAAGAAAAGAAATGGTAATAAGATAATAATAATCTGAAATTTAAGAGATTCACAGTAAAGTTGTGAATTTTGATTCCTACAAGTTACCTATAAAAGCAACCGTTTCATCTAAGATGAGTGTAAAAAAGAAATTTAATTGGCAATTCATATGAAAGCTAGTGTATATATATGTATTATAGTTTTCCATTAGTATGAAAAGGTTGTGTAAGATATGGATAGAAGATTTTCTATCTTATGTCTTCTTCCTTTCTAGAGTAATAAGTTTAACAATTTCTCCCTTCATATGTCGTCGTGTAAATCACTGATATTGTTTCTGTTGATTTGCAGTCTTTGAGGACTGCTGGTTTTCAATCAGCACAACCTACACAGCAGACACTTTCTGGAACTAGTGTCACCACCGGACCTGCTGTGCCGCAACATCTTACTGTACATCCATATTCGCAACCAACACTTCCTCTGGGACCGTTTGCTAACATGATTAGTTATCCCTTTATGCCTCAGAGCTATACGTATATGCCATCTGCATTCCAGCAACCATTTGCTGGTAGCAGTACTTATCATCAGTCGCTAGCGGCAGTGCTCCCCCAATATAAGAACAGTGTTTCCGTCAGCAGCTTACCTCAGTCTGCCAGTGTTGCTTCTGGATATGGTGGTTTTGGAAATACAGCAAGTATCCCTGGTAACTTCCCAATGAACCCTGCTGCTGCTCCCTCTGGTACTAACTTGAGTTACGATGATGTGTTGAGCTCTCAGTACAAGGATACCAATCATTTAATGTCTCTTCAGCAGGTAAGCAATGCACTTGCTATAAATGCTGTTTGATTATTTAAAGACAATAGGACAAATTGCTGTCGACTTGCTTTCTCTAATATAATAGGTTTTGATATGTTTCTAATTTGGACTAATAGTTGTGATATGTCGACTCAGCATTTTCTCGATCACTGTTCTTCCTTTCCTTGATTTTGAAGCTCATGTTTATGTTCATTCCCCTTCCTTTCAGGGTGAGAATTCAGCTATGTGGCTTCATGGACCTGGCTCAAGAACAATGTCTGCTGTTCCTGCTAACACATACTATGGTTTCCAAGGTCAAAACCAGCAAAGTGGTGGATTTAGGCAAGCTCAACAGCCAATGCAGAATCATGGATCTTTGGGCTACCCAAATTTCTACCATTCTCAGGCTGGGATCTCATTAGAACATCAACAGCAAAATCCAAGGGATGGGTCATTGGGTGGCTCTCAAGGCCAGCCAAAGCAGTCTCAACAGCAGCTATGGCAAAACAGCTACTAATAATCTCTTACTGCCTCCTGCTTTTTCGGAGTCTTGTAGTGAGTTTGAAAGAGGCCTTTCAGGGTGTTGCTTTGGAAATAACTTAAACGTCCCAAGGGGAATCGATTGGCTGCTACCCTGTGCCTCGAGGTTGTACTTTACGTATTTGTCATCAGTCAAATGTAACGTAGGAATGTGAGCTAACGTCGTGCTAGTGGACTTTTCTTGTTTTGTTAACTCTTTGTTTCACAGTTAACCCCTTTGCTTCTTTATCTATAGTGATAAGTGATGTTCTGTTTCCACTAAGCAATGTGTTGCAATCCATCTTAGTTTCCTAACCAGTTTAGCCCTGCTTGCTGCACAAATGATTTAGATGTGGTATTTTTATTATCAGGTTTTACTTATTTCCTACTTCCATTGAGCCTAAAATTCCTGGCACAATAAGGTGGAATGTACAAAGATCTCCCTTTATTTGAAAATATTGTTAATGCCCTTAGTATAGTATTATAGAGAAGACAAGTTTTGTGGTTCAGTCCTGTACGGCTCACCTAAAAAAATCTCTTTGATTATGCGAGCTATTTTATATGATGTTTTCAGAGGAAAATGATGATTGATTCCTATTATGGAGTCGGTATAGAAAACCTTTAATCTCATCTATCCTCTTTGCCATTTGGTATCGAATGTGGTCAAGTTTCACTTGAGAAATTAGACATGCAGGTTAACTTACTTCATGCTTTGATTCTATAGCACTTTCTTTTGGAACTAGCCTATAAGGTGAAACGGACTACATCTAATGGTATTGACTTTTGAAGTTACTATTCGTTTATAAAGAAATGATAGATCTAATTGGAGCATTTGATAATTTATGCTTAAGTTTTAGTTTAGAGTACGAAACCTGACATGCTAGATTTGGATCATTACCATCGGTTCGTAACGAGCTTTATAAACATTAGTTTACATCTTTTGCTTTTTAGTTGCACAATGAATTGTGACTAATTTGTCCTAGTAAATACATCATTATTATTTCAATTCAGCTACTATTTTAAGTTTTGAAAATTTATCATGTATTTTCTTCTTATATTGACATGTAGTGACTCCATTATGGCACCAACATTGCTATAATTTGTCAAACCTGTGGAACTGACCAACATCAGAATAATAAGATAATTGCAAGCTTGGAAGGCAAGGAAAGATCACAACTTTGAGTAAATTACAGTGAACAATAAATAGGCTATAAACCATCTCTGTTGCTACATATATAAATTCCTTGGCTTAATTGATTCCATTAAACCCAAACTCAACGGAAGACCATAAGCTCGGGGCTCGACGAAACAGAAAGTTTCAGCTTGTTGAAAGGTAGTAGGATGTGGTCTAAAGGATCTCAGATTAACTGTCACACAAGCCCATAGAAGGTGATGTGATATAACATGATTTTTCAGATGACAGAAAAGATGAACCAAAATAATTAACTACATTAAAGGCAAATAATAAGGAACCAAGAAAAGGAAATCAGGAAAAGACACTATGTGAGGTCACAATCCACATTGCAAATGAGTTCTTCCCCCCTCACTACACAAGCATCAAGTTTGCATTACATCTTAATGTGTTCAACTAAGTCGAAAGATGTAGAAACAAGAGACTGGGCATAAGTTGGAAGTATAAGATCTAAAACATATGCAACTTGATGCTCATCGATTAGTTCATTCAGGAGGAAATCAATGCTTGCGAAGCCTTGGTTTCCCTTTCTTTTGTTGACCCAACAAATCATTTGAGAAGAGATCTTGCTAAATGTTCTCGTGCAGTTGCCAATGCTTGGCTTATTGTCTGAACCAGAAAGAACGCATAGTGAAAAGATGAGTTAATTGCACAGGGATGCTAATTAATGAAACAACTATTCGATCAGTTTGAAGGAACACATCAGGAAACAGAGCAATATTTACCTGCTCTGACAAAGGTGCCCCAGAATCCACGCTATTGCTTGCCACTTTCCCGGCAATAACATTTGCATCCGTTTCAAGAACAATTCTACAAGAGATAAGAAAGTAAAATGGAGGATCTTAGTAAGATTGTAAGTTAATCAGAAGTAGTTTCAAATTCTTCATCAGCTTAGTTTCCTGTAACTGAAATTGAGAGCAAGATTGAATGTCTGCACTCTTTTCCATTTTCTTTTGCCTACTTCAATTCTCAAGGTCAAACACTCTAATAAGTACTACACAGGGTATGTGAAGAAGAAATAACTATAATTCTATATAACTACAAAGAAAAGAAATAAAGGATGCTAACATGTAGTATTTTGATAAAATGAGTAAAAGTTGCAAAGCAAGTTAAGACAAAGATTTTAATTACTCAAAATTTGAAATAAATAAAAAAATCATGGTACAATTCTCTTACCCGCCATCAACAATTTCATCAAGACACAAAAGAATAAGGTCCAAATTTTCAAGTGCCTCCTTCTTCTCTACGTTGCCCCTAAAACAAAAGGCATTTGCAGCTAGATAAGTACATGAAGACGAAAATATCAAGGGATGCATATCGAAAAGGAAAACATTGCTCTTGTAGACAACCTAAGAAGAATACCAACAGCATCAGAGAACCCCTGGAGCACACTGGCAAGGATTATTTCATTTTCATTGTCACTCCCGGTAACAAAGAAATGAAGATCTTGGGAAAACTTGTAAACAACAATATAGTTATCAAACATTGTTATCTCCGCTGCATAAGAAGTAAGAAGAGTGATCAGACAGATCAAGGTTCTCTTTCTTTCCCATCACAAAGTTAGAGTTTTAGCAGCAACTGGGGGAGAGGGGGGGGACCCAATATGTTGCACAACTGCTTAAGCACAAGGGCATTCTTTAGTAAGTGGCATAAAGACAATTCTTAATATATATGGAGCAATTAAGGAGCAAGACTTCGGATTCATATGACCTGGAGAAAACCAAATTCTAGAAGAGGACATGCAAGCAAACGAAAGAAAACCAAGTCTTTAAGAACATTATTGTCAACCCACCACCACTAACCAGAGTTCCTATTTGGTAAATTAGCAAAACTTCTAATAGCTTGTCTTTGTTTTTAGCACTTGATTAAGACTACCACAAGAGTTTTATAATAGTATTGTACAGAGACTGGTAATATCTACTGCATAAGATAGTCTCACCGACAACTCTAGTGCAGAATGGAACCTAACCAACTGGCAGGATGACTTTTGCTTCCTTTGCATGTTGAAAGGGAGACCAAAATGTGCAGACAGTAATACTTGAAAGTATGAAACAAAATAAAGGAGATAATTTTGAAAGAGCACGACCAAACATAAATAAATAAATCAACAGTAAAAGAGAAATCATACCTTCTGCCCTGGCATTAGTCTTTTGTGTCTTGGCAAACACAGCCTTCTCAAAAGCTTCCCTTGCAATATTTGTTGGCCAATCATCTGAGTAGTACTTCACAGCAACACGCTTTCCTTCGGAATCTAGAAGCAGAATGTTCTTAACTGAAGGGCAGGTCTCCTACAAAGAGGATGTGAAGGATATTATAGCAGGATCTTTTGTCTAGATATCCAGCTATGAAAAGAATAAGGGATGAATTTCTTTTCATACGTTGTAGAAAAATAGGTTAAAAACGTATATTGCCACATCTGACAGAGATGGAAATCATGCATAAATTGCTCTGGTTCTATCTATCAAAGCTTCAAGTTTAACCATCGTTCCAAAAATTCCAAGATACTCACTTTTGCATATTTCTCCTTTTACTTTTTCTATCCTAGCACGTGTAACATATAATCATATTCCAAACCAAAGCATAACTGTAGCACAAATAAAGCTGCCTTCCCTTTTTCATGGCCTCCTACACAGCTATAGATGTCAACCAGAAACTACTTTCTCTCCAATTATATCCAACTCCAACATCAACTCATCAAGTCTCCAAGTCATGTGGAAAAACAAAAATATCCAAACACCTAAACCAGATTTTCGCTCAGTGGCTTTTTACCTTTATTCTCTTGATGGAAAATCCTCACTATTTAATAAAATAACTTTGCCTCACATCATATGCCCCTGTTATAAAGCACGATATTTCCTCCTTCATGAGCAAGACTTTTCCATTCTAAAGAGATGAATGCAGCATCCCATTTCAAGAAATATGAATCTAAGATTTAGCCCAGAAGCCTTAAATGTGTGGGTTGGTGTCAGAGGCGAATCCAAGATTTGAACTTTATAGGTTCAGAATGCCACTGAACCCTCTGATCATTCGAGTTACTGGGTTCAAAATTTAATATTTGTAAATATTTGGTTAGATTTCTGAACACATACACACGGTATGAGCTAAAGCTATTGGGTCCGGCTGAATCCATAGCTTATACGATACATACGCCCCCGGTTGGTGTCCATCTTAAATTTTGGTGTTCTTCCTATTAGGGTGTTGCAAAAGAATTAACTGGTGGGATATATAGTGTAAATAATCCTACTGGAGTATTTCATAACAAAAAAGTTTCTATCTTCCTTCTGTTAATTCTTACGTTTTTTTCTTCCTTTTGTTAATTCTTTTCCTTTTTTCCATTGTTGGAGACTTAAAAATGCTAGATCTGATAGATATACCGTCCCAATTTACCTCCATATAACAAACGCTGAAAACAGGTCAATAATCAAAGAGATCAAGAGAAAAACACTTTAAGCCAGCTTTTCCAGTTCTACTAAAATTAAAACCCCAAATACACAAAATTCATTTTCTACCAGCGCTGACCGCTAAATTCAACCAAACAATACATAAGATAAGTGATCAACGAGAATGCGCTTGTTTTGGGCAAATATGATAAAACATATTTAAAAAAAAGTTTTTTTTTTTCACTTGGAAAATAATAGCAAAAGGGTTTAAGAGAGAGAGAGAGCTGACCATTGTGAGTGAGAATTGAGGAGAAAGAGCTCAGAATTGACGTTGAAGGCGGATCGCTCGACCTACGAACGCACCGTAGAGAAAGGAGGGAGGGAACCTATTTGCTGGGGCGTGATACTCGCTTCTTACTTTCTTTTGTATTTACTTATTATGTATGATTTTCACTAGGCGTTACAACTTGTGAAAGTTGTTTGCTTGTTTTTGAAGTTTCTTGCAAGGAAAAAGGTTCTTTTCACGGTCCTTTATTATTTTTATTTTATTTTATATTATGCTACTTGTTTGGGTATTCTTGGTTTAATTTGTCCAAACTAATTAAACCAGTTAAATCTATTTTTTAAAATATTGTAATCTAATCAAACCAATATAATCTAAATTTTATCAGATTGGGCGTTAGGTTCAATTTTAATTTTCTATTTATACAAATGTAGTTAATAATGCAAAGAAATTGATACTACATAAGTTTGACAATCAATGTATGAGGATGATAATTGGGACAATGACTCCTATGTAGGTGGAACAAAATTGTTGTACTAGGAAAATATTTTTTTCCACTCCAAAAGTTGTCGATTTTGCCTTCACAGACTGAGAATTTAGAAAAGAGGTATAACTCCACTACTTACTCTTTTCATTAATAAATCATGTTTGCATTTGTAATTTTTGTGAGTAGCTATTTTCATGTTTGCCTTTGCGGGCGAAGTGTAGCAATAGCGGTTTTTAAGCCCGCTATTTAAAATATATTCACGGTTTATAATGTATTTAAAGATTAATGAATTCACCTAAACTTCAGAACTAAGTGTCCTGAATTTTTGAGCTGCTAATTTGAAATTCATTTCTGAACCACTAATTTAAAATTCAGGACATAAGATTCGAACTTCAAGACATAATTTTTGAACTTTAGGACACGATGTCCTGAATTTCTGAACTACTAATTTAAAATTTAGGACATAAAATTCGAATTTCAGGACATAATTTTCGAACTTTAGAACACGATGTCCTGGAGTTTGAATTTTGAGTTTAAATTCTAGGACGTCAGCGAAATTGGCTAATCTTTAAATACATTGTGAACTGTGTATATATTTTAAGTAACATATTTAAAAGTTACTACTTGATGTCATTTCCACTGCCTTTGCTAGTTTCGAACAAATGCAAATTAGGAACAACCCACATAGAAATAAGGGTCGACCTAGGCAAGTTCCACCTTGCATTATATTTTCGTCGATTTCTATGCACCTTGGTGTGGCCACTTTTTTTTTTGGTTGAACATACTGTTGTTTTTTCTTTTCTTTTCTTCGTCACAAGACTGCAGTAAATTTCTTGAGCCAATAGAAAACGAGCCATATGGGAAATAACTGGAAGACATGAAAAATGTAAAATGGAATCTAGCATTTGAACCATGCTATTTTGCATTCTATGATTTGCACCAAAAGTACAAAAAGGTAGAGAGAAAGATCAAACTGAAGTTTTGCTACCTTCAGAGCATCTTCTGTTTGTCTCCTTTCTCAAATAGATTAGTTTTGGCCAAGCATAAGCTATCTTCTTCTGTTGCACTTCGCAGCTTGCATATACATCTTGTTTATTAATCTTTTCCCCAGTTCAGGCCCCTCTAGGAAAGCCATACACCCTTCTTCTATATTAACATTCACATATACATATGTAAAACATAATGTCTAAATAGAAACGTTTTATATGCACTTGTATATTTATGTAGACACTGACAATTTTAGCATCCTAACCTTTGTATAGAAACAAAAGAAATGTCTTGCGTACACGAGAGACACACACACACACACACACACACACTCTCTGTCTTGCATACATTGTATTAGATTGCGATATTGTTGTATCAACTGGGCTTAAAGATCAAGATTTTCATTGTACAGTTGCAACTTACAAGTTAGTTGTGAGAACTGTTAAATAGATTTTCAAATCGAGTTGGGTTGCTGCTGAGAGGGATACAAGTTCAAGAAGGAACTGAAGAGGATTTGGAAGACTAACCAGTCTGCATTGCAAGAGTTGAAGAAACTGGATATATTTTTGAAGAAAAGTCTACTGTTGTACACTCTTTGATGTTCAACAGTTCAAGTGTCTTAGTTTATTAGCTCTCTGGTGTAAATACATTGTATAATGATGAGCATATATATGATAGAATACCCTTATGAAGCTGATGTTGAGGTTTTTTTGTTTTTAAGATAGAAATAGTCTTAAAATGAGGGTGAATCGGAAATGGAGGGAAAATGAAATTTTTGAGTAAAAATTTTAAGTTTCCCCCTCTTGACAATGAGACATTGTACCATATTGGAAGAGGAAAAGATTTTTGGTGGGTATATATATAATTGCTCTTCTTGTAGCTCTTAAAGAGTTAAGAAGAAAGCAAGCCTCGCGCCGTCGCCGTCGTCGTCGCTCGGCTTCGGCTAACGGATATTTTTCAATCCGTGTATTGACCACCAGGCAGCCGCCTAATGCCTGCTATATATATGTGCAACAGCGGTTGAAGAAAGACACACACAATACACAAGACACAAAACCGTTCTGCATTGTTTTAACTTCAAACAAAGCAACTGTAAGTGTGATTTGCTACTGAAATACTGGGGTTTGTTTGAAGTACCGCTACACCAGTGTGTGATTCGTTCTATCCTGGGAGGAAATAATCTATTACCTTGGGTAGGAGGGGATTAAATTCCTTAAGGAAACACTGTGAATTCAGTGGGCTCGAATTAATTACTGTTTCATTACGATAACTTATATTTTGCAGAATTATTATTTATAAATACAAATTTTGAAAAGGACTAACAGCTGACAAATCTGATATATAGTCATTGCTACTCTGTTTCAAATCAGGATCTTTCTACATTTTCTAGTTTCATACCTGATTGTGTCCCTATCAGGACTCAGGTCTGTATGAAATGAGTGTATTTCTCTGGCAAATCTCTTTTTGAGTCGAACATACATAATAAATGATATTTAAAAGTAGAAAAAACAAGCACATCTTCTTTTTCACTTCGCATTATTTTATCTTATGATTTTACAGAAGCCTAAACAACATGAAATCGAATATATATAAAGGATTAAATTAAAACATATTCTTTGTATACCTTTTGCCACAAAATCTGATCTTAGGGGCTACTTTGGTCCGCTAGTTTTGGAAGGGCCACATCTCTCCACCATAACATCATACAATTGCTTCCCATTAAAAATAACAGGGAAAAAGTGGATTTGTCCCTCAGGTTTAGTCTGTGTCTCTTTAAAATAAACCAAAATGGGGAAAGTAGGCCACCATAATTCCCAGTTCACAAATGTTGAATATTTCCAGCGGTTCTTTCCACCCACAAATACATTTTCACCAGACTCCTTGAGTTGCTCCCCAACTTTAACCTCAAGAGCCTCATCATCAAATACAAATCTGACTCTTGTTGTCTGAAATAATAGGAGCAATCCAAGAAGACCAACAGGAACAGCTGCTGCTAGATTTTCTGTATAAAATAAAGCACCAGATGCTCCTAGAAGGAGAATTGGAATACGGTAATCAGGGTCAGGAACAACAGTAGTAATCTCCTTCTTCTTAGTTTTCCTCTCAAACAATGAGGTGATCGCAGTGTGACGGATTCTTTTGAAGTTTCTGCAGGTCAGAAGTATCTCTTTGCCGTAGAATGAGCTCTGGAATTTGTGACTCAGAGGTCTACCTACTACTACTTCTCTTTGATTTGCTTTGGGTAGAGTGATGAAGGAGGAAGCAGATACAAGAGCGCTCTCCATTGCAATGAGTGAGAGGCTCTCCAAAACTGCTCTTACTTGTAACTTTTCTATCCTTTCATTTCATTTCATCAGTAATAGAAGATATAGTTTTCTGTTTCTTTTTTATTACTAGTAGGAAGATCACTTGTGCCTTTCCTTTTGTGGTTTTTGGGTTGGTGGGCTTCTATGCTTCATTATGGGCCAAGTAAGAGAGGGTGATTTGCACAAATAGGATCTTTTGCCAGAAATTCTGACCAATCACTAGAATTTTCAGCATTAGGATTTCTGGTGCTTCAAATTCTGCCATGTAGCTATTTTTTCAAAAAATCTCTTAACGGGATCAAAATATAAATGATTGTTCTAAATATATTATGGAGAAGCCCAGATAATAATACGTACACATGTATTATCCGTTCATGTTCCTACTCGAAACAAGTTGATTCTACGCGATTTCTTTTCTTGTTGAGCTCAATAATTAAACAAAGTTAGTTCTCCAACATATTTTGGAGTGCAACTTTCTAGTTTATTCTTCAGTGTCATACCTACCAAAGACTTTTAACAATAAGATAAAAAAGAAAAACCATGGTTTTGCTAGTGCAATCAAAGAGGAAATATACTATGACTTTCTTGAAATAAATTGTGATTGTAAAGTGCAATACTTCATTATTACTTTATTAGAGTGTACAAAAAACAAAGTAAAGAAATGGATATTAAAGCAGGAAATCCATTAATTAATAGTTGAAATAATGAAATAAGCAAAAGAACTCAGCAATCCAACTGTCACACTAGCATCACTCTTTATATGGCAGAATGGGATTGCAGTTCTTTAATTTTCACTTTCCTGCAATATCTTTACAGTTCCAATAATCGTTTTGAAACTTCAAGCTTTGTTATCTCCATGAAATTCTCCACTCGTATAGTTTCAAAACCAGTCAAGATTATACCAAACTGACAAATGAATGAAAGGAAGTAACTAAATCTTGTTGCTCCTTGGTAAAACCGCTGTCTATTAGCGCTGCTGCTGTTGTTTGCTGCAGATTGTATTTATGTAGTGCGCAGCTTTCTATTTTGTGGATCCTTAAAAATTACTCTGAATGCAGACTAATTACATTTCTCCACCTTGAGAGAAAGAGAAGATCTTGAATTATCCTGGGAAATAGCATTTGCCATCAACTAATCATCAAAATCTAGCAGTGGTATCTGCAAAATAACAACAAATTACTAAAATTTAAGACGGCATAATCAAAAGCTAAAATATTGGAATAATCTGAAAAGGATGGAGAGAGATAATCTCCCTTGAGCAGCTTTTAGAATGATTCAATCTGGTGCAAATCAGTTTAGACTTTACAGCTACAAATCATTTTTCGTTAAGTTAGTGGAAATAATGACTTCTTTTATAACGGTCAATTCAATGCTGATTGTCTGTGTTGTTATCTATCAGGTTTCAAAATGAAGTGCATGCAGTTGGCCTACAAGCTAGACAGCAAATCGTAGCACCATGTGACAGTCATATAAGGGGAATTTGTCAATAATCATTCAGGATTGAGGATTGCCTTCATTAAGGTTCTTAATGATCACTCTGAATTGTATAATTCAAAAGACTTAATTGGGTGTTAAACATCGATTGCAAGATGGTACTGTGTTTAATTGAATGTTAAGCAACAGTGAGGACTACCATGTATAATACTAATGAACTTGTACAATCCAAGAAACAGCTAGAAGGTGCGCAAATCACATTTAACCAAATTACGACAGCTGATGCTTTGGATACTTTAGTTTATAGAAGTCGTGTTTTTGTCATACTGTTTGACTTACACACAGTACCCTAACTTTAAGAGAATTTGCAAAAATTTGAATCTCTCTCAATTTTTGGATGGAAAAAGCCAAGTGCTTTGCACATGACACAGCCTGTTGAGGGTTCATAGTCCGTTTTCATCTGTGAATAATTTTTGGAGGGAATAAAATCAAAATCTATTGGTTACCTCTAACATGCATATAAATTTGTGATTTAAAACTGCATGTATATAAGAGGTAATGGGTAGATTTTAGAGCTAATTAGTGCTCCTATCACCTCTAGAAATTATTTTATAGACAACACAAATTTTGGACCCTCAAAAATATCTGAAAAAATGATGCTCAAGGCACATGGCTTCTAGCTGACACAAAATTTACATTGTTAAGGGGAGGTAACGATTTTGTGGATTATTTAAGTTAGGGCATTATATGCATATAGAAAAATATAATAAAGAATATAGGACCCTTATAAATCAGGTACCAAAAGTGCAATTGGATCAATAAATGATGTAAGCCTCTACTGGAGTTAAGGGGCTGGTCGCAAAGGGCTAGTCAGGAACTCTTATTGAGATCACATTTAAAAGGCTCATCTAGAAAGAATTGTGCAATAGGAAACTAGGTCGGTTCTGGAAATGGCAAGAGCATAAATTGACAGAAGAATGGCACACATAGATAGGGGTGTACATGAGGCGGTTTGGTTTGGTTTTTTATTAAACCAAAATCAAACCAACTATGTCGGTTTATTAAATTTATAATCAAATCAAACCAACATAAACTCGGTTTTTTCGGTTTCGGTTTTAGTCGATTTTCTCGGTTTCTTCGGTTTTTTGGTTAATTTTCGATTTTATTTTTTAGTTATATTGTGCTTGAAAAAGAGATCAAATAATCACCAATTATCCGCATGATTACTATTCATTAAAATAATATAAGATAACAGTTCTACCCAAATCTAAAGGAACAAAATAACATAATTGGTTTAATCAAACACTTTAGCTTACCAAATTGTATTGGAGCAGTAAGACTAGTATGCAATTACAAACTTGAACAATGGCTACTTCTCAACAAGAATTGCAGAGTGGGAAGCTCGTGCGAAGTGGAGGGAAGGGTTTCCAATATTTGGGGTTCTTTGAGTTTGGAATTGGAACATAGGGAAGATACGGAAGATATGAAATAACCTATTTTATTGTCTTTTGTCTTGTTGGGTTTTAGTTTGGGCTTCAGATTTAGGTTATGTAGATAGAATCTACTTAGTGGATAGTGAATTTACAAGCCCACACATAAATAATATCTTAAGACATTGAAAACTATAAAATAGTTTAGAAAATACTTACAAATTAGATTTTAATGATTATTTTTTATGTATAAATTTATATATATATATATATATATATATATATATAATGTCGGTTTGGTTTAGATTCGGTTTGACTCTTTTTTGTTAACACCAAACCAAACCAAGAGTGACCTGTTTTTTATTTTCCAACACCAAACCAACCAAACCAAACCACAAGTCGGTTTTTTTCTTCGGTTTGACTTGGTTCGTTGGTTCGGTTTGGCATGACGGTTTGGCTTGTACACCCCTACACATAGATATCACTGCAGCACTTTGGACCAATAAGTACAAACCTGAAATATTCTACTTCTAGCAGCCAGTCTCCCCATCTAAGGCCAAGTTCATAGGAAATGTACTAGAGAGGATAGCAGTTCTTGCTGTGTTTACTGAAAATCTAGAGTCAAAAACTTTTTGTTCAGTGGATAAAGCTCAACATGATACTAGTAAGAAACAGCAATGTGGATCTAAGCCATGTTATAGTTGAGAATCTAATCTAATGGATCGAAGGATCTCTACCCGATAGGTAAAACAACTATAAAACTGGCAAATTAAGGTAGTTGGGTAGCCTCAGAAGGTATGAAGGACACAACTATACTTCCTTTTTATCGACTAAAGCTCCCCAAGACATGGAAATATTCGAAGTCTGCTTTTTCAATTTAGCTACAATTATCTTTAAAAAGAAAAAGGGTGTGTGTGAGTGGAGCAAACCATTAATTTCTTCTTGCAAATACGAAATGAAGTGCCAAAACCAAAATTCATACACCAAACTACTTTAGATCTATCACTTGCAAAATTTCCAATTCCAGCCACTAAAAATATATATACAATCTTAATTTCAGAGAGACAAAGAGTTTACCTGTAATAGAGACTCATCTAGAAAAAGGCTTTTGAAGTAGAGCTGTCAAATAAACTTCCCCATTCTTCACACCACTAGCATCATTCTTATTTGCTACAGCCCACTTCACCTTCCTGTAGTTCAATTTCCAAATCAGGGGTTGGAAAACCTTCTCAAGATCCGCCTTTTTACTAAAGAAATGATCCAACCATAAATACCCACCACCCCTCAACACTCTATCAACATCAAAAAACAAGAACTCCATCATAGTCAATGGAATCCACCTATTCACAGCATGGCCACATCTCACAAGATCCACAACCCCATCAAACACAGGCAACCTCTGCTGCAAAGGCACATGTAATGGCACCAATCCCCTGAGTGCCACAGTCTCACTATAAGGGGCACCAAGATTCATAGTTGTGGTCACTACAGTCACATTTTGCAGCTTCATTTGTGCTGCAAAAGTTCCTGTACCGCCGCCAATATCAAGTGCCAGCCTAATCACACTTTTTGAGGACTTAGTAAGCTGGAGAAACTGTGGAATTGGAAGATCCAGATCTGATTTATAACCCAAGAATCTTGATCCCTCAACTTTCATATCAAATCCCAAGTTGGGATTTTTCTGAGACAGACAAGAAAAGCTTTTGCAAGAGTAACTGTTCCACAACAAGGCCTTTTCAGGGAGTGTAGAAAATGGGGTTTTAGGAAGTGAAGTGGGAATACTAGAAGGGGTTCTTGAAAAACATCTTCTCCTAGGAAGAGGGTGGCAGCCTCTGAGGATAAGGGACTCAGCTACTGAAGAATCTGAGGGGCAAAGACTAAAGGGTGTATAGTTCATGTACTGATGAAGCAAATCAGGATGGTCTTTACAAGAAGAAGCAATAGGTGATAGGTGGGTGTAAAGGAGGAGGTCAGAAGGGATGGCGAGTATAGATTTCTTGGCAGCAGCAGCTGGAGGAGCAGGAGGCTGGAGGCGCGTGAGGTGGTTAATGGTGGCGCGTATGGTTTGAAGCTGGTGAAGAAGGTGGTCAGGAACAGGAGGAGCAACAGGGGGCTTGGATTGGAGATTGGAAGAGAGGTGATACAAAGAAAGAATGTTGGTAGCTACCATTGCTACTAACAGAAGCAAGTTTAGACCCATTGTGAACCCCATCTTTTTGCTCCCTCCAAAATTTTCTTGGCTGCTGATGCACTTAAAGAGTATGCAAAAGCTTAAAAAAGCAGAAAGTTTTGTGCTTTACTACTATTTCTACCGACCCAGAGAGGTTTACATTAAATGAAGGATTTGTTTTTAGATCTATGAGCCAAGACAGGTTTTCTGGTGTCTGAATTTGCGGGTGATTTTTTCTTTTAATAATATGTGAATGTTTTGTTTGATCTGAGATGTGAGTGGGCAGTTGGGATGTAGAGTGTGGACTTGCATTTCTGAGTCAATTTGTTTACTTGGTTTTTTTACTTCTTTTGTGTTTTTGTGTTAGTATTTTACTGTTCATATGGTCTGTGAATCTTAGTGCCTTTATTATAAAATGCTCAAGTGGAGTTCTGAAAGCCACGTGAACATGGGATTCCTTTGATTTCTACTCCACATTATTGTTTGCGCCTTTCCATTTTCGTTTATTGGGACTATTTTTTAGAGCGAACACCTAGTATTTCATGTTACTTTGTTAAGGATCATCTGGTTTCAAACCAAATTACACATGAGTTATCATCCCAAAATGATGATGCAGCGAAGAATAATCATTAATTTTTTTCATATATAGTCTAACTTCTATAGATTGATAATATATAAAGTCTTAACACTCTCAAATCATTTAAAAATAATTACACATAATCCATATTAAATGGAATCGGTAACTTTAAAAATAAAATAAGTATACGCAATTCAATTGCATCGTTATTAGATAAAAATACAAGTACAAATGGTTTAATTTATTGCTAATTCTTTATTTTTATTTTTCTTGAAAATGTATTTTAAGTTCAATATTTCATTAATCAAATTCAATTTGAGTTTTAAGTAAACTAATAAGTTAGTATATCATTCAATCTCAATTGATTTCAATTAGCAATTTAAGCTATTAATAGTTTTTTTTTTGTTAATCAATCAGTTTATTATGAATTACTACATTTTTCAAAACACTAGTTTCTCTCCACGTGCGTTGCACGTGTATGTTCGAGCTATGTAATACACAATGTTGTAAAATAATATCAATATTATTAAAGAAAATATTTGAGTAAATAATTATACATGACAAAATAGAGTATATATATGAATGATCAATATTAATTATCGTAAAGTACTTTGTTTGTCTAGGTCAAATAATTGGATCGTCTCAACCTACAAAGATAAACAATCAATATTTAATTAGATACATGTGATTTTCAGCAAAATCTCTCAATAAAGTAATAATTATATGATATAGTTATATTTTAAAATTAAAAATTGCATAAATTGTTATGAAAATAATTATATTGTGTATGTCCATTTATTACTCCGCTAAGATTATCTATTTAGTACTCTGTTAAAGTTTATCTACAAGCAGTTGATGCAGGCAGGTTGCAAGCAGCTCAATGAAATGATTTGCAGCAGCTTCTTATTAAACAGGCAGGTTGCAAGCAGCTCATGCAGACAACTTACAAGCAGCTAAAGAAAAGCCTTGCAACTGATTCCTGAAAAGCCTCGCAGCTGCTTCCTTTCTTCTATAAATAGAGGAGAATTCAGTTCATTATGTACATAAGTTTGAAGTTTGAATAATATATCAGTTTCTCTCTATACTTGTCTTTACTTTACAGTCTTTATTTTATAACACGTTATCAGCACGAGACTCTACCATCTCGAGAAAATACTTTGAAAGTATCAGAGATACGAACTTTCTTTTTCTAAATAATATCAAATCTTTCTAAACTTGAGTTTGTAGCCCTAGATATATCGGGCAAAAGCGACACGTCTTGGGTGCTTGATGCCGAAATTCATCTTGATGCGATGGGTCTGGCAGACACCATCAAAGATAAAAATCAAGCATCAAACTAAGACCGTGCCAAAGCAATGATATTCCTACGCCATCACCTTGATGAGGGCCTGAAAATGGAATATCTTACTGTTAAAGATCCAGTCATACTGTGAAATAATTTGAAAGATAGATATCACCACCTGAAGATGGTTGTTCTTCCACAGGCACGTTATGATTGGACTCATCTAAGGCTACGAGATTTTAAATCTATCACTGAGTATAATTCTGCTATGTTCAGAATTATTTCCCAATTGAAACTATGTGGTGATAATATTACTAATCATGATATGTTGGAGAAAACTTTCACCACTTTTCATGCCTCGAATATGCTCCTGCATCAGCAATATCGAGAGATGGGATTCAAAAAGTATTCCGAACTTATCTCACATTTTCTTGTAGCCGAGCAACATAATGAGCTATTAATGAAAAATCATGAAAGTCGACCTACTGGTTCTTGTCCATTCCCTGAAGTAAATGAGACGAACTTCCACCAAGATAAGAGTGGAAGAGGACGTGGCCCCAGTCGTGGTCATGGCCGTGGTCGGGGAGAAAACTCTAATCGTTGTAATAACAATACACCAAAGAACCCTTCTCACCACCAGCAGTGAAAAAGTAAGGAACAAAAGCATGAAGCGGTGCAAGCAGCAAAGCCAGAAAATGCATGCTATAGATGTGGAGGAAAAGGGCACTGGTCACGTATATGTCGTACGCCAAAGCACCTGGTAGAGCTGTATCAAGCCTCCTTGAAGAAGACTGAGAAAAATGTTGAAGCAAATTTTATTTCTGAAAATAATTTAGACTTCATGTATTTGGATGTAGCTGATTATTTTGCACCCCCAGAAGGAGAAACAAGTCATGTGATCGGTAGTGAATCTGTAGAAATGTAAATATTTTAATTTTTGTTATTTGTAGTAGATAGTATGATTATGTAATTGTTGTACATAAATAAAATTTATACTTTGGAAATGATGTTTACTATCATATTTATTTTGTTTGTCATTTTGAAAAATATGGATAATCCTCAAATAATATTTGGATCAAAGACCAAACTTGAAGATATTTGTGTAATTGATAGTGGAACAACTCATGCCATATTCAAAGATCATAAATACTTTTCTTATTTGCATAAGGAAAAAGTAATTTTTTCTACAATTTCTTGTAATATAAGTTTGATTGAAGGCTCCGGAAGATCTACTGTATTTCTGCCAAAGGGAACAAAACTTATTATCGATAATGCATTGTTCTCCTCCAAGTCCCGAAGAAACTTGTTGAGTTTTATAGATATCCACCGAAATGGATATCATGTTGAGACAGTAGATGGAATGAACGTGGAATATCTTTGTATTACAAAAAATATTTCTCGCCAGAAATGCATTGTAGAAAAGTTACCAACTTTATCTTCTGGCTTATACTATTCAAAGATTAGTACAGTTGAAACACACTCTATCGTAAACCGGAAGTTTACTGATTCAAATACTTTTGTGCTTTGGCATGGCCGTTTGGGCCATCCTGGATCAATAATGATGAGACGAATTACTGAAAATTCGAGTGGGCATCCATTAAAGAACCTGAAGATTCTTACAAATAATGAATTTTCTTGTGATGCTTATTATCAAGGCAAAATGATCACTAGACCATCACCAATGAAGGTTGGCATTGAATTCCCTGCCTTTTTAGAACGTATACATGGGGATATATGTGGACCTATTCACCCACCAAATGGGCTATTTAGATATTTTATGGTCCTAATAGATGCATCTTCAAGATGGTCTTATGTGTGCCTACTATCATCTCGCAACCTGGCGTTTGCAAAGTTATTAGCCCAAATAATTCGATTAAGGGCACAATTCCCAGATTATCATATAAAGGTTATTCGCCTTGATAATGCTAGAGAATTCTCATCTCAAGCTTTTGATAATTACTGTCTATCAGCTGGGATAAAAGTTGAACATCCTGTAGCTTATGTTCATACTCAAAATGGTCTTACAGAGTCATTTATTAAACGACTGCAATTGATAGCAAGACTACTACTTATGAAAACAAAATTGTCCATTATTGTTTGGGGCTATGCTATCTTGCACGCAACATCACTTATCTGTCTCAGACTCACACGTTATAATAAATATTCTCCGTCACAATTAGTTTTTGGTCATGAACCAAATATTGCCCATCTACGAATTTTTAGATGTGCTGTATATGTGCTAGTAGCACCACCACAGCGCAACAAGATGGGCCCCCAAGGAAGGTTAGGAATATATATTGGGTTTGAATTACCCTCTATTATTCGCTATCTTGAACCATTGACGGAAAATTTATTTACTGCTCGATTTGCAGATTGTCGATTTGATGAAATAAATTTTTCACAATTAGGGGAGAGAAAAAGAAAATCAAACGAGAAATTGTGTGAAATTTTTTATCATTATCTCACTTTGATCCACGCACCCCTATATGTAATCAGGAGGTCCAGAAGATCATCCATTTATAAAATATAGCAAATCAAATGCCAGACGCATTTACTGATTTGAAAAGGATAACTAAGTCACATATCCTTGCAGAGAATATTCCTATCCGAATTGATGTCTCAGCAGGACCATCTACTAGCATGAGATCTAGTGAACCTAAAGCACGCCTGAAGCGTGGTAGGCTTTTGGGTTCTAAGGATCGAAATCCTAAGGAAAAAAAACGACAAATGATCAAAATGATATTATGAAGGGATCTCCTGAAGAGACCCAAGATCTAATTAGTTATGAGATTCTTGAAGAAATTAATGAACCCGAGACTCAAGTGAGTGAGGAACTTTTAATAAGTTCTACTGGTGATGGGATTAATTTAAATCGATCTGAAATACTGGTGGATAATATTTTTGCATATAATGTTGCACTTAACATTATGCAAGATAGTAAAAATCTTGAACGCCGATCTGTCGAAGAATGTCAACAAAGATCCGATTGGCTAAAATGGCAAGAGTCAATTCAATCGGAATTGAAGTCACTTGCTAAAGGAGAGGTCTTTGGACCAGTAGTCCAAACACCCATTGGTATAAAATAAATTGGTCATAAATGGGTTTTTGTGTGAAAAAAGAATGATAAAAATGAAATTGAAAGATACAAGGCTCGCCTTGTTGCACAAGGATTCTCACAACAACCTGAAGTCAATTATGAAGAAACATTTATGGATGCCATAACATTTTAATATCTCATCAGTTTAGCTTTACGTGAAAGGCTTGAAATACATCTAATGGATATAGTTACATCTTATCTGTACGGGTCACTTGATAATAAAATTTACATGAAAATCCCTGAAGGATTTAAAATGCCTGAAGCATATTCAAAATCTCGAAAAATATACTCAATCAGATTACAAAGATCTTTGTACGGTTTAAAACAATTTCGGCGCATGTGGTATAATCGCTTTAGTAATATTTGTTGAAAGAGGGTTACATAAATGATG